TTTTTTTGCTTTAGATTTAGAATGTAATGGAAATTAGAGGAGGGATTTGAAAAAGGAAAGTTTGGTTGGAAACTTGGAATCCATGGTGTCACCGGAGTCGTTCGATAGGAAAAAGAAATAAAAAAAGAGTGAGAAAAGGGCACTTGGTGTGAAAAATTCCAATTAACTTTTGAATTGAATTTTATTATATTGTTATAAAATATTTAAGAAAGCTCATATATTTCATTTAAAGAATAAAAATTTTAATACAATTTGGGAGTCAGACTCTTAAAGTTATTACGTACATTTTTTATATTTATTAATTTTTTTAAAAGAAAAAAATCATTGTAAAATTATCAGTAATTTATATTTATATTTATTTATTTATAACGATAAACCCAAAATTATACTCAGTATAATTTGATACACTTTATGTACATGCTAATAACAAAAGTAATATATATCCCACTACAAGATTGATAACTTTGGTGATTGCCGTAATATCATTATTGATCCCACAAGCAATATAATCCAAATAAGATGGCACAATGGGTTTGAATGACACACTTCATTTCCATTCCTCATCCAAGCGTTTGAAGTCCGAAAGCATGGCTTTCTTCACCTTAGTTGTCTTACAATGAACTACAATGTGAAATGTGCAATGGATCATTTAGGGAAAATTGTTCATGCTTTCTCTATTTAGCAAGCACAGGAATGTGAAGAATTCAAAGAAAGACAACCCATGATTTTGCAATTAGAAACTCTGATAAATAATTTGAAGAAATTACAAGAAATTTGAAAAAGGTGAGAAAATACCTTAATAGACAACAATTGCAGCTGTGACGTAGAGCATTTTGATATAAATGACTATCTTAGCAAAGGTACTTTTTGCAACATTTATTTTCATCGAATTGTACATAGCATTGTTTTACTTGTTAAAATTAACTACTCCTTGTCTGGAATTATAACTAGATATTACTAGTGACACGGATTGGGTTTGAGAGTATCGTGCAACATTGGAAATTTTTGTTTCATGAATTGTGCAATTCAATGTTTGGTGCATAATCCACCCCTTGTTGATTATTTCAAGGAGACTATAAAATGGATATTGCTTCTAGCAATCCACTTGCAACAAAGGTACAATATCCAAATATACCCTCAATCTTTATATATTTATTTATTTAATAAAGAATGAAAAATAAAAACATGTGATTAGAACGTTCTAATGTTTTACACTTTTTTCCTTTTCCTTAATAGTAAAACATAAAAATTAATTATGATTTATAAAGGATTGAGGAAGATTTGTTGATTATTCAATTTTTTAAATAAACATAGTTTTTCTTATCAATGATTTATTGCTTCAAATAGAAATAATTTGATTTTTTATAAATAAAATTTTGAAATCAAGTTTTATAAATAGAGAGACATGTGCTGAGAGAGCTTTCTTTTGGAGTTTGATTTTATTTAATTTTGAATTAATTAAAATCAAATATAAATTTCAGGTAGGAAGATAGTTTAAAAAAAAATAAAATAAAATAAAGAAAAAACTTTCCTCACTTCTTTTTTTTGGTGGAAATATGGAAATATATATAACAAAACACAGATACAGTCAGGTCCGGGGAAAGCCTATTCCCCTTACATCAGCGTCCAAATACAAACCAAGGCCCTGCGGGCAATTAACAAAACAAACAAACCCCGTTACAGTATGGCCTATAGCAGCTAAATGATCAGCACATTGATTAGCCTCTCTGAATATGTGACGAAGACGAACGTGAGGGATTTGAGCCATCAGTTCCCTGCATTCCAAAATCATGGTATGAAATGGATGATTAATAGAATCATAATTAGAAAGTAACTTAAAGACAATCAGGGAATCCATCTCCATAATAATGTTTTGAATACCCCAGTTTCTTGCCATAATCAGGCCATCCCGAACACCCCAAAATTCAGCACCAAGAGCGGAGGTAATGCCTATATTTCTGGCAAAACCCACCACCCATCTACCCAATGAGTTCCTAATCAATCCACCACAAGCAGCAGCCCCAGAAGTTCTCAATGAAGAGCCATCTGTGTTTAACTTGAAATAACCCTCAGGGGGTTTGTCCCATTTGATATTGTTGCTAACCAAGGAGCTATTAACAGTTGTAGGATAGGGAGAAGTGGAGATGAACTCCATTGCCCTTTCTTTAATTAAGATTTTTGCCCGGTTGGGGTCCTAACTCTGTGGCCGATAAATTTTCTCATTCCTCTGCAGCCAAATGGTCCAGATGACAAAGGAGAAAAGAGTTCCCCATTGGACAGTAATTGAAGGACTAGGGGTAGTCTTAGAACAATTCCTTTGGAGCCATAAACTTTCCTCACTTCTTTGCTTGCTGAGGTTTCGAACCTATGTAAGATGTTTTCGGTTAAGAAATAATAATAATAATAAACCCAGTTTTAACCAAAAACCTGCCCTTCCCCAAATTAACCATGCTCAAGGCACTGTGGCAGATATAAACACTTGCCAAGGCAGTAAACCCATCTAGAGCTTCGGGATCGATTCGATAAATGTGTTCGACATTTCAATTAGGGTTCAACAATTTCATCAATTTTACCAGGTTCTGCCCTTTTCTTTTCTTTACATGGTTTTCCTACTACAAAGATTTCTTAGACATTAAATTCCCATTGTTGAAGTAAGTAGATTGAGATTAAAACTGAAAATGCTCTGTAGTTTTGCAGTGAAAGCAAGGAGTTTGAGACCTAGGGCATTTTCCCCTTTGACAGTCGGAGTAATGGGGTCTAAGAGGCTTCTTTCAAACTCATCCGTATCGGCTTCATCAACTGTTGAGGGAAAGACAGATAAGAAGCTCAAGGGATTAGCTACTGCAGACCTAAATCCTGATGAGGGTGAAGTTAAGGTTGTTGATTGCTTTGGTTATTTCCACTAACCTTACTGTTGATTTTATATGCTTTGTAGGTTTTTGGATGGTGTGTGGTTTTAATTGTTTCGGGTTTTGGTGGATTGCAGGGGAATGGCGGGAAAGGTAAAGTGGTTGGGCAGGGCAAGAATGATAATAAAGAACAAGGTTTGGTGGGTACCAATCAAAATTCCAAAGAGGGTGCTTTTAAGGTTGTTGATGATCTCACTTATAATTGCCATATCAAAAATTTTCTGCTTTCATGCTTTTATAAGAATGTGGTTTAAATGTAGTGCGTGTGAAATTCAGGATATCATGAATGATCCT